GTCGATGTAGTTAGGTGTCTAGTTTAAAATAAAACAAACCCGAACTCTCCAGCTTGAAGTATATTAAAAAATCTTGGGACGCCGTTCAGGGTCCTTTTTGAACCTTGATGTCTGGAAAACTCCTAAACCATAAGACTTGGAGACAAAAAAATCTTTTCATTCTCATAACTCATTGTGCCGAACATTTACAGAAAGTTTCGTCAAGATCGGATGTACGGTGCCGGAGATAATTTCTGAGGGGGGAGGGGCCCTTAAAATACCCACAACTAGAAGCTATCGTATTTGATTTACCGAATGTCAAAGCATTTGCTACAAACTACTTTACAAAAATAGCCGTTACAGACCGTCTTAGATATGAAACAGGTGATTTTTTCAAGGATGAATTGCCCGAAGGTGATCTTTATGTATTAGCTCGTATATAACATGACTGGGACGAAGCAGATGGTATTAAAATACTGAAGAAAATTTATGATCGTTTACCGAAAAATGGAGCTGTTCTAATCATGGACGATAATAAAATAGGCCCATTACACTGAAACTTACAAGACCTTGTCATGCTAGTTGAGACCCATGGATTTGAACGCAATGAGAGTGAATATAAAAAACTATTAGAAAACGTTGGATTCACAAATATCACAGCGAAACGAACGGCCAAATGTCTTGATTGCATTATTGCATCTAAAAACTAGCAAACTCTTATTTTATTCACTGATACCTAGTGTTATAACATTTTTGTACGAAAGACTCAGTATCAACAGCACTAACTCTATAAATATACGAGAGAATTGCACTACGATTGAACCATTTCGAAACCAAACAATTTGTGCATAAAAAAATTCTGAATCATGGTACTAAATCACGACTTGAAAAGCAAAGCGTATCAAACCTCAGAAACGCCATGATATGACGCAAAACGATAATGAGAATGAAATCTTTAACCGGTCGGAGTGGTTAAAGATCGAAACGAGAAGTCTCCCAGCTCTAGATAATGTTCTAATCCAGAGTTATGAGAGTTTTACCCACTGCGTAGTTCACGCAATATATTTTAGGAGGAGTATCGAGTCGTGGATAGGTGGGGTTTGAACTAGTCGAAGTGTTAGTTAGGGCGGGGTAGACTAGCCGATGGTTTATGTACACAAGGTATGCAAAGGTGAAACACTACACTCTAATTGCAATTGAATCGAATGATACTAAACGTACATCAGTAAACTTTCTTTGATGTACGTTTAGTATCATTCGATTCAATTGCAATAACCTTATGTTGCCAGTCATTCTCATGTTTCAAACTCAAACAGTGATCAGCAATTCTTGAGTGTCCTTGACCACGAAATGCCTTCATATGTTCTTCTTTTCTAATTTCAACACCACGAGAAGTTTGTCCAACGTACACTCCATTACAGCCTTTACAGTCATATCGATAAACCACGTTGTTCATATCTTTCTCTGCACGAAATTTCTTACTGAATAAGGTTCAAATATGTGTCTCAGCAGCAAATACAAATACAATTTCTTTACTATTTTAATTTTACCATAAAATGGCATAGATACGAAGAAATAATAATCTTTCCTAGTCTAACTCCTCTAATCGTTTTTCTGATCACGTTGAGTGGATAACCATTAGCTGTGAGTATTTTCTCATAGTAATCTAATTGCTGCTTCAACAGAGCTTCTGATGAACAAATACGCTTGGCTCTAGTACAAAGACATTTAATTAAATTAATTTTGTAAGTTCTAGCCTCGAACGGAATGAAACTTTCATCAACATTAAAAGGACTGATGGATATTTTTGATTCATCAATTTCATCAGTTCTTGCATTTTTTTCATTGCCAGATGTGAATTTTTATGTGCTAATGTATTCGTTCCTATCATAACATAAAACTTTACGTTTTTGAAACAAATCAATTAAACGAGCAATCTTGCATCCGCTTATCGATAATACTTCATTCTCGAATTCATTTGATTCTGATGATAACAGTCTCGAAGTTACGTCACGCAGAAGGCTATCTCGATTAGCAACATCTACAACGCAACAAACGCCGAAAAATACAGCAATAACTGAGTAGGACAACATTCTTATGAATAAATCTTTTTCGAAAACGTGAAATCAAAATATTTTCAACTAGCACAAAATAAATTAGATTTGAAGCCACATTTGACAAATGAATCTCAGAACAATGTATGCTAATAAGCTTATTTTTTTCTAACGGGCTTTGTCAGGCGTTGTCGATTAGCCTAAAAATGCTAATCGACAAAGCCTGAAGGTCAAACAGGAAGACTGAAACAAAATAAGAACACCTCACAGTCTGGAGCTCCTCTTCTACTTCTAAATTTTTTCTGTAGCATAAATGGAAACAAACAGACAAAACGACGATAGAATAGAATCTGAGCGAAGAACAGTCATTCAAAAGTCAATGGTTTGACAGAAAAACGTTAGACAAAAGCTAAGAACGATCATACAGCTCGCAAAAAAAATGTTATTGCTTTAAGTTTGTAGACTGCAGTCATTATTACCATTTGATCGCAATCAACGCTCCTCCTCAATTTGCGCCGATATTACGCATTTTCATAAATAAATATATAATGTATCACAATATCCATTTATTTTGTCATAAACAATCACAGTTCATATACCGTTCGATAGAGAATTTCACGGGCTACAAAATAAGCTATAATGCATTATTTTCAAAGTTTGTCTTTGTAAACGCATCGGACAAATACTTGCCGGGTATCTCGATGTTTTGCCTATAGTGGCACATAGAAATGATTATAGTTTCTTCTACAGACTTGTCCCGAGATTAGGCATAGTTTTGTATATAGAAAGATGCAGAATTGAAAGGGCTACCGAATGAAGTGGAACGTAGTTTCTCAAATCCTAATTTAAGTATGTCTTGATGGTAACGATGTCTTCTATTTTCGCAACTACGCCAGAAGTAAAGTGGGTATTTCAGAAAATTATAAAATGTCAGACGTGACATCATTATCCGCCAAACTACAGCCAAGACGAATTACCATTCCATAACATTTGTGAAACTTGTCGGATATAACAGTGTGCTGCGTTTAAATTTTAGCGGATATTCTACACCTTTACCGTAGGATATAACAAAGTTTTCGGCTGACAAGCTTTACTACGTGCCCTTCTTGCCACATGTATCATCTTTATATTTTTGTTGTGTAAATAAAGTCGTTTACTTATGACTGTTCTTATTTTGACTTGGACTTTACCTGTGAGAGTGATTTACTTCGGCTGTACAGCATGGATCTGATGAAAGCATATATGAATGAAACCATGACTAGATCATCACGATTTGACTATTGTCAGAATCAAAATGGCGATTATTGTAAGGGATGCGTTTCAAAGTGCAATGATCTCGGATATTTTTCGGATAACTTTTCACAGAAATGAGATAGAGACCCGCGGTTTGTAGGTTTGAAAACTTGACACGTGAACACATATTTTTGTAAGTAAAAGCGAATTTTCGAAAAACTTCTGAAGAGGGTTTCTCAGATCTTCAGAAACCTAGCTTGGGTTTTCCAAATTTCACATAGGAATATATTGATTTTGTTGTTGTCAGAATCAAAATGGCAATTATTGTAAGAGGAAAGAAGACGAATTTTTCAGTTCAGTTCTCTATCTTGTATCATACAAAAAAATTTAGGTGGATGGCGAGTGTGGAAGCGTAAAAATTGAGAAAATGGATTTCAAACAAAGAGGTAATCTACTTATTTTGTACTTTTCTAACTTTCAATACCTTTCAATGGAAAGTGAAGGCATATTTGGAATCAGCAGACAAAACCGAATCAAGTCATCTGTCACTCATATGTTTTTAAGAACAAACTATTTCGATCATTAATAATTCAAAAACTCAAAACAATACTCGACTCAAAACATACTACGCACATTAAGTGTCATCACAAATATATTTGTTCTATAATAAAAGTTTATGTATATACAACTTTGAATATAACAAACATTTTCGCTCCGTACACTGATTCCATAAATAACTAGAAAACTTACAATTATATTTCATATCAAAATTTGATGTTTTTTTTCTAAAGGAGAATACCTCGAGATTTTTACAACATCGGAATCAGAGCGATCAGTTACTTTGTACTTCGCAAAAATCTCCTCTGGACCCCTCCAAGTTTTTGAACCCTATGGCTCCACTAGAGAATTTTACGGTATACCACAGTATATTCAACAGTGGACACCAAACATATTGCCGCCATTTTTGTTTTTCGTTTAATCTTACTTTTCTTTCGTTTCATTACTTTTCTCCTATATATCCTACATATCAGCCTTATTTCTCTTTAGTATCCAATTTCGTTTAAAGGTCTTCCTAAAGAGAACTTATTACATATTACCGCAATATTTTTACTACCTTTATCAATCGGAGCAATTACATACTTATCATGTATATCCGCTAATGCGTTTAAAACAAGGGGGAAACAGCGGACTCCAGACGCATGAAGTCATTTGGAGTCAAGTGGAGTCACTTGATGCGTTGGAGTTAATTGATGAGGTGGAATCAGGTGATAGGGTGGAGCCCACGAGAGAAATAGCAGACTAGATGGGATCCCAGTCTTGTGAAGTCACT